AATAAATAAGATGAAAATAATCAAGGACCCTTAGTATAACAATAATAAATAAAATAACAAGGGCGATGTAAGAGTCTGTTATTTAAAGTTAGTGGTTGACTCACACAATTGTTGCAATGTGCAAACTTTTTTTAACCATCTTTTATTTTATCTGATTTATATAATTTTTACCTATTTACAATGTCGACACACAAAAATTTTAACTTTATTACCGTTGGATTTTCCTGGTGAGTTTTCATATAGAAAATTTGACATAATTCGTAACACCTATAAGGAAAGTTTTTTATTACCATCTCTTAGATTTCTGATTGTACATCGACTTTCTAATCGTGTATATCATGATGTCGTTTTTTCTGATGGAGACTCACGGAAGTGGATTAAGATTGTACAAGCGTATTTCTGCGATTGATTCTGTCCATTATTGTTTATCGTCTGAGGAGGGCTCAATCCTGGAGCCGAAACTAGTAGCGTTAAGTTAATTTTAAGTAATTTTTTGTAATTATATATATTTTATGTAATTATATATATATGGTTTTTATAATTAGATTTTATTTTATTTTATCACTTAGAACTTTAACATTACATTAAATGAATTTATATTTTGACTCTTACATCGCCCTTGTTATTTTATTTATTATTTATGAATGTAATAAAGTTTTGAGTATGTTCTAAAATCTCTAAATAGTTTTTTTTTTATTGTCACTTCCGTTATTATTAAAACTGAACCCTGAAATCATAAAAAAAATAAATTTTTAACTTTTAACTTTTCAATTACATTTTTTTATTAACTTAACTTTTAATTCAATTATTAAGAGTGCAAATTAGTTCGGTCCGTTTTTCAAAAGATGATCGCCTCCAAAGACATTTTTTTGAGGTAGAATTCGAAATTGCCAGAGAGATGGGAAAAAGTAGTAGCCAGCGATGGGCAATACTTTATTTTAATTAATCTGTTTATTCATTTTGTTTTGAAATAAATGCATTTTTGAACACAAAAAACGAATCGAACTAATTTGTACACCTAATAATTTCATTATACACATTAACTTGTATCTTAACTAATTGTAAGTTAAATTTTCAAGGTTGTTAACTTTAACTTAACTTAGTTAAAAAAAAGTAACTTACCCAACCCTGATAATCGCAATTAATTTTCTATTTATACCTCTAAATAATTATTATATACTTACATTTACCTGAATAATAGCTAATATTAGTTGATGACTACGCACATGAATTCGCAATTACATTATGCGTGTGAATAAGTATTAAGTAATATGGTAAGCTCATGTGAACATCGTTAAAAATATTTCTCTTGCGTGACTTTGTGCACATTGGTATTATCACGAGTAAAATTTATTATTTGAATTTTAATTCTAAAATTATAGAACTGGGGAAGATTGAAACCTCTCTATAATAATCTACTTTACAATATTTTAATGTAACATATTCTATTTGATGACTGCGCGCGCATATAGGTATATACATATTGATATATCATATATGTATATATGTATATATATACACATATATACATACATACATATACTATATAGTATATTAGGGTAGTTCTTATTTATATTAGATCGAAATGTTTTTTTTAAATTTTTTTTGGTCTCACCCCATAAAATGGTTCCATTTTATGAAAAAATAATTTCTGTAAAATTTTAGATTAATTGGATTACGGGAAAGGGTGCCGAAAGGCATCAAAAATCTTAAAATAGAATATGATAGTATATTTTACATTTATATTAATATTAATTATAAATATATAAATAATATTTGTAATTAATATTTATTCAATGTTTTTAATCTATTATCCAAATAATTGGGCATGCACAAAATATTGTAATATTTACAATAGTTATTCCAATTAGGTCGCCTCTCATCATATGTATTATCATAACATCTAAAAATTTGGTCGATTGTGGCGTTTCTGTCATTCATATTATAATATTTATCTCTTTGAAATCATAATTTAAAGTTTTTGACAGAATGGTTGGGAACGAGACGCTCTCTTGTTCACACAGGTTCGTGCAAGCTCATATTGGGTAAAGTCACTAGATTTATAAAGAAGACTCTCGAAAGTTTCAAATAACAAAAATATAATGGCTAATGAGAGCTATTCGCTGTTATTAGTGCGATCATACATATATAAGATATGTTAAAGAGGGAATTTTATATACTACGTAAGTAGTTCCCCCCCCTTAAAACGCGCCGAAAATCCTTCGGACTTAAAAACGGATATTAATATATGTCTTTCAACATATTATTAAGATCCAATTTAGATGCTATAAGCATCAAAAATTGTGATATTACTACGGTAGTTGATTAGATTTGCGTTTTTAAGTCCGAAGGATTTTCAGCGCGTTATGGGGAGGAACTATTTACGTAGTATATAAAATTCGCTCTTTAACATATCTTATATATGATCGGACTAATAACAGCGAATAGCTCTCATTAGCCTTTATATTCTTGTTATTTGAAACTTTCGAGAGTCTTCTTTAATTGTGATTTGTAGAAATTTATTTATATTTAATATTAGATTTATATTGTATGTAAAATACTCATTTATCTTAAAAATCAGTACATATAAAAAATCAATTGTCCTTCGACAACTTTTGCCATAATCCAATTGAGCTGAAATTTTCCAGAGATTGTTTTTTTATAAAAAGGAATCATTCTGAATCATGAGACTAAAAAAATTCCGTGTTCGAAAAATAAGGACCACTCTAGTATGTATATATAATATATATGTATATACATATATGTATATACCTATATGCGCGCGCAGTCGTCAAATAGAATGTTATATTAAAATATTGTAAAGTAGATTATTATAGAGAGGTTTCAGTCTTCCCCAGTTCTATCGAACGATTATTTTGAACATCCGCAGAACTTCCATATATAAGCAGTATGCGTTCGAAAATTTATTAATTTTCTAAAATGATTACTGCTTACCTATTTTTATTGGTCGCGTCAGCCCGTGGATGCGTGTTACCAATGCTAATAAAATTAATATAATAGAAAATAAATATTGTGTGTGTTGTTTGTCCATTTCAGTACAAAATCTGTAAAACACAATGGTGAATTTACTTACAAGATATGATTCTTCAGGTAATACGTACTAATTCTTCGATTTTTTAAGTTTTATTAAGCTTGAACAACTATCATTGGTTTCTCTTTTTCTGTATACATTAACGCCGTACATTTTAGGAATATCGATAATATATATTAAAGTGCAGATACTTAGCAAATGTAGATTTTAATTAAGAGATTAAAATTTTTTTCTTAAATAATATATTTGTAATTACTATTTAATAACTTTACTTACTAATCTAGAATATTTGGAAAATATGTGATTGATCATATTTTTAATTTAAATTTTCAAATTAACCAAATTATACTTTTTATATTAATAGATATAAAAATTCACTACCTTATATATATTATTATTCTAATATTATTATTCTTATATATATTATTATTCTAATATAACTAAAATATGTATTATTATACTAAAACTTTTACTACTTTTACCTTAATATTTGTGTGTCAGTAACTGTATTCTCTCATCGTTTCAACTCGATGCTTTTCCAATTGGAATCAATTGAAATCTTTATATGAAGCAAAAATGTGCTTGCTTTCAATAGCAACTTTTCGAAATTTTAATAAAATAAAAAAGGGAAAATGAATCAAGAAACTGTATTCGCGAAGTTTCGACTTTGATGTTGTCCTACTATACACTGATCTAAATTTAGATCCGAACCATCTTATATACGTTTGGCTTTGCGTCGTTCGTTTTGAGAACTGTGTCGTAGTGACTACGTCGCACATTCTTCCAGTATAGGCAGTATATACCTAACGATGTTTTATATTTTTATATTTCTATATGTGTGTTTCAAAAAAAAAATTCAAATATAAGCACTAAAATGATAATTCATATTTTATTCATTTTATTATAAATAAATTAGTAAGAATATTTTTTTTGTTATATGTAATTAAATAAATAAGTTTTTTTAATACAGTTATGTTCGCCGTGACAGTTAGACGGTTATCTCAATTTTTATACATCGAACGTTATGCACACGTACTGTGATACTAATCTTGTACTTCTTTTTGTTATCAAATTATAATTTTACATATTTAAGTCATCGATGAATATTACATCATTGACACATTATAAATTTTTTCTCCGATTGCTGCCAACCGAAGATTTTTTAAGAATAATTTTTAGATTTTTTAGAATAATTTAATTTTTGGACTCTGAGTTTTTTTTTACTAGAGAGGCGTTTTGTGCTTGTTTTCAATTGTGCTTAAGGTTTTGTTAATATTAATATACTTTTTATGTTCTCACTAGAACAAGAAAATTTCACAATCGGTCAATCAATCGCTTGACAAGCAATTTTCCGTTTCTTTGATTAAACGCTCATCTAGTCTTAAAAAATCGTCGACTTCTTTATAAACACATAATTTTTAAGTTTAAATTTTACTGCGTTATAATTTATGTGTACTTGAAGAGGGTTTAAATATAAAGCCGAAACATGTAGTATTGTATTATTGTATATTTAATTCGAATAGACAAATATTAATTTAATCACATAAGTTTCCATCACATTTTTATATTCTTATATGCCAAATTAAAATAAATTAATATCCGCTCAAAAAAATTTCAAAATTAAAAAATAATAAACCTCCCAGGTCAAGACAAATTGAGCGATACTGGTTGTTAGATATACACAGTCTGTCTCAAAGTAAACAGGACTTTTTCAATTGGGACATTTCTGGTGGCGCCATCTTAATGCGGCTATAGGCGTTCGAAAGGTACATTTGTTCCAGACTTCCAGTGAAAATTTCATGACATTTGGTTCACTGGAAGCAAAATTATTGCGCCTAAAGTGACAGTAGGTTTGCGTTGTCGGTACAAAAATGAGCATTGAACAAAGAGCCAACATTAAGTTTTGTTTTAAACTCGGTAAAACGTTTACCGAAACGTTTCAATTGATGCAACAAGTTTATGGTGATGATTGCCTATCCCGTGGAAGAGTTCATGAGTGGTATACGCGTTTTAAAAACGGTCGTAAAGACATCAATGACGACTCTCATGTTGGCCAGGCCAAATTCGTGATTACGCCAGAGAGCATCGAAAAAGTGCGTGATTTTCTCAACATTCATCCGAAATCGTCGTTGCGTTTTATGGAAATCGAATTGGGAATGTCCAAAGATTCGATTCATCGCATTTTGACCGAAAAATTGGGCTATCGGATGTTGCACGATAATGCGCCATCTCATCGATCGACGCTCATCACCGATTTTTTTAGCAAAAATCGCATTTTATTGGTCAACCATTCCCCGTATTCGCCTGATCTGACACCCTGTGACTTTTATCTATTCGGAAAACTTCATTTGCCGATGAAAGGCATGCGCTATGCTGACATTCCGACCATTCAAAAGGCGTGTACCATCATCCTCCGAGCCATGCCGGCCAACGACCTAAAATCGTCATTCGAAAAGTTGTTAAGTCGTGCAAATCAGTGTATCGAAGCGGAAGGAGACTATTTTGAATAAAATAAAACAATTTTGCCAAAAATACCATTTGTTGTTCTTATTTTGAAAAAGTCCTGTTTACTTTGAGACAGACTGTGTATATATAAATTTATTATTATATAATAACACTGCGATATACGGAACGTTTCGACTTCACAGAGTCCTCATCAGCCATAAATAACCCCATGTAAATTAAACAAACAAATTAACTTCGAATTAAGGAGATGCTGGAATCTACGAAATTGTGGGTACTTTACAGTCTTATGAAAATCTCCGAAACGACTGATCGGAATGAGAAATTCTTTTACAGGATTAATATAGACACAAAATTAGTTAGTGGTGTGATGAATTATATGCTAAAATCGAAAAAAAGTTAAAAACATTTTTTCAACTCGTATGTGTCACACCTGACGAACATATTTCCTTGATAAACAAGTTTTACTGCTTGTATGGACTAAATGAGGTCTCATCACCCGGCGTATTAAGTGAATAAACAACACTGACTTTATAGAATTGAGATTGAAAGCACCAAACAAGATATTTTCATTGAACTGCAAAAATGGTAAATTGCCGATAACGAAACTGTAAATTTTTAATTTTTTTCTGTTTTTCGTATTGAAATGTAGCTAGCACTCTCCGTTTTTGTCGATACTTTAGTTATGCAGAAGGATTTTTCCATCCATAAATGCAATTAAGAGAAACGAGTCTTTAACTAACAATAAGTAATGATAAAACAGGACACTCCAGCATCGCCTTAATATACGCATTTTTAATATACAATATCACTCAAATGAACAAATCTGGAGACACGGTAGTGTCTCGGCGCTAAGCCAAGTGCGCGACACTGCCGTGCCTCCTATACGCGAAACTGAGAAATTTTCGGGGTCGAGATGATCAGATCTCAGTAACGGCTGAAGTTTAGTTATGATCAGATCTCAGTAACGGCTGAACCGATCAAGTTCTACATACGCTCAATCGGCAGGAAATACTTAAATTATATGATAAAAGTGCTTTCATTTTTTTTTTACGTGCCCTACGAGCGGAAATATCGCGACGCAAAGTCCGGATCTGAATTTTCACGTTTCATTTTTAAGATACGTTGTCATTAACGTCGTCGACCAGAGAAAATGTCCACCTCGTTTTTTTCGATAATAGAGGGATTTTGACTTTATGTGTTATCTCACTCTATCTATCATCTCACTCTATCTATCTATATCTAACCAGCAAACCAGTGTTGCATGGTGTATCACATACATATGACGCGCGCGCGATTTTAATCTTAAATTAAAAATAAAATATTATTCAATATA